TCTGTCCGGCCCATAACCGGTTTACTTGCTTGGGCAACAGGCCAGGACTGGGAGAGAGGGAAGCGAGAATTCACTTCTAAAGGGCCAGACTTAATTCTTGTCTAGAAGGGAGTTGCTGAACTTGGATGGTCTGGCTTACCGCCCGCTCTGTCCCCTTCATACCCCCCTCCCCATTCACACACACTCACCTCCTTCTCCCCGCCTCGCCCTCGCGCAGGCGCGCACACACTCGCTCGCTCAGCCCACACTCATTCCTCTGCCCCTCTACTCCCAGACAGCTACCCGCGCCGCCCCGGCAGGGGGGGCGGGGGCTCGGGGGGGGGGGGGGCCTAAGAGGAGGGGGGGGGGTTCCCCTGAGGGGGCGGACACGTCAGCCCCCGCAGCGGCGTGGGCGTGGGCGGGCGGGGGCTTAAATAGGGGACCCAGCGCGGACTGGGAAGGCGGCGGCTGCAGCAGCTGCGAGGATCCGAGTGTCCGAGCCCGTGCCTGCGAGTGGGTTGTATCCGATCACGGCTCCTAGCCCTGGCCGTGTCTGTGTGCTAGTGGGTGAGTGTCCCGGTGGAGCGGGATGGGGGTGGCTGCACCGTCTGGGTTGCGGACAGATGGGCCAGGCCCGGATGGGTCACGGGTTAGGGAGGGCGCACGGACCCTGGTGGCTGGGAGTGGGCCGCGGCAGGGCCCCGAGCATCTCGCCTGACTCCGAGTTGGGCAGGCGCACCCGGGTCCCGCCTCCCCCGCGGCTCACCCGGCCATCCCGGTTCCTCGTCCCCCAGACGGCATCGGACGTGATGACCCTGAATGGCGGCGGCAGCGGAGCGGGCGGGAGCCGCGGCGGGAGCCGGGAGCGCGAGCGCCGTCGGGGCAGCACCCCCTGGGTTCCGGCTCCCCCGCTGCACCGCCAGAGCATGCCAGTGGACGAGCGCGACCTGCAGGCAGCGCTGGCTCCCGGCGCCCTGGCAGCGGCCACGACAGGGACTCAGGGCCCCAGGCCGGACTGGCCCGCAGGCTCCTCGGACTCGCTCAGTTCAGGCGGCAGCGACTCAGACGAGAGCGTTTACAAGGTGCTGCTGCTGGGGGCGCCTGGTGTGGGCAAGAGCGCCCTGGCGCGCATCTTCGGTGGCGTAGAGGACGGGCCTGAAGCCGAGGCTGCAGGTGAGCCTAAGGGGCTGATATTCAGGGGAGGGAAGATCCCAGGACGGGACTGAACTGGGGACCGTGACTAAAAGCGGGAAATACCCTGGGATTCTAAAGGCACTTCCAGAATTTTGCTTCTACCTACCTATTTCACCGATGTGGAAATTAAGGGAGAGGTACCCCTCCCCTATCTCCCCCTAGCATTTGGTAGAGGAAGAAATGCCCAGAGTAGAGGGCCCAAGGCATAGATAGGACTACTCCGTGCGATGGCTACAGGACATCCCTCCCTGCCAGGGCTGGCAGGAACATAACCAGAAGGAGTTTCGAGGAGGGGATCCTTAAATAGCCAAGGCCTCCAGGGGGTATGAGAGTCACCATTCTAACTCATGCCACTGTGGTCAGAGGCACCCCAAGGCCCAGGCAGCAGAAAGTCAGGGAGCACTGGATTGGTCACCATGGACGTTGCTACTTCGGGACATGTAGATGGAGGTCAGGCATACCACATCCTCCAGCCCCAACTCCCAGCCCTGCCACTTCTGTTGCCATATAGCAGCCATCTGCAAGTGGAGGGGAGGGTTGGGGGCTGTGGGGAGGAGTTGGAGGATATGGCCAGAAAGGGAAACCTGGCGTTGGGGGCTTTTAATAGCCAGCCGGTGACCTGGCTATTGGCCTCCTGCCTAGGGCACATGTATGATCGCTCCATTGTGGTGGATGGAGAAGAGGCATCACTCATGGTGTATGACATTTGGGAGCAGGTAAGATGCAGGCTGAGACCAAGGGCAGGAGTTGGGAGGGTTGAGCTGGGGTAGGGACCTGCTGGGAGTGACGGGCTTGTGGCAGGAGCACGAGGACCCTTGGGCAGGTGTTTTTGTGTATTCCCCAGGACGGGGGCCGCTGGCTGCCCAGCCACTGCATGGCCATGGGGGATGCATATGTCATCGTGTACTCAGTGACAGACAAGGGCAGCTTCGAGAAGGCTTCAGAGCTGCGGGTCCAGCTGCGGCGGGCACGGCAGACAGACGATGTGCCCATCATCCTTGTGGGCAACAAGAGTGACCTGGTGCGCTCTCGTGAGGTCTCCGTGGATGGTGAGCAGGCAGTGGGTTGGAGAGGGAGGGAGATCCTGGCTGGGGTCCAGTCAACCTTGGCTCACCTCGAGTCCCCGGTGATCATCAGCGGCTAAAAATGTTCAGGAAGAAAACTCGGAGGGGAGGGAAGGGGGAGAGAGCTGCTGCCTGCCCACAGGTCTGCCAAAGGCCTGAGAGGGCTAGGGAAAGAACCAAGTCCACTAGGGAAGCTGGGGCACCTCTGGTCCCTCCTCTCCTGCCCCCTTTGGCCCTAGCTTGATAGGTGGGGAGGTGAGGAGAATGCAGGGAACCATCCAAGAGGTCAGAGGCTAGGTTCCAGGCCTGGGCCAGTCTTGATGTAGACTTGGCCCTGGGGAGGACTCTTCCCACTCAGGCTCAGCTTCCTTCTCTGTGGCTCGCAGGACTGAGTCCCTCAGAGGAACCCAGCATTGATTTGGTGACATTGTCCTCCCAACCCCTTGCAAGTCCACTGGGTCGTTTATCATGATATATCATCAAATCAGAACACACCAAGCTGTCCAACGTAGTTGTCGTTTTCCTGTGTTGACTAATGCAGTATTTCCATTTAAGTATCAGATTTCAAATTATTTAATTTAATGAATCTTCTTTTGTGGGCCACTGTTTTATGGGCTCTTTAAAAGCAGGCACAGTGTGCCTGTGGGGTGACCCAGCAGTGCACAGGGCCCTCAGTACAGGATCTGGGGTCTCTGTGTTTCTGGGGAGGACCCAGGACTCCCCCTTCCCTTACCCACAGATTCCTGAGTGGTAGCTGCCATGGTGTGGCCAGGGTTTGAGTGGGCTCCTCACCCATGCACCCTTTGTTTACTGGTGCCTGCCTGTCCCCACCCATACCAGAGGGCCGGGCCTGTGCTGTGGTCTTTGACTGCAAGTTCATTGAGACGTCAGCAGCGCTGCACCATAATGTCCAGGCACTGTTTGAAGGTGTTGTGCGCCAGATACGCCTGCGCAGAGACAGCAAAGAGGCCAATGCACGACGGCAAGCAGGTACCCGGAGGCGAGAGAGCCTTGGCAAGAAGGCGAAGCGCTTCTTGGGCCGCATTGTAGCACGCAACAGCCGCAAGATGGCCTTTCGCGCCAAGTCCAAGTCCTGCCACGATCTCTCGGTTCTCTAGGCCCCACGGGCTCTCATGGCGGTGGGCAGATGGATGGATGGTTGGTGGGCTGGCCCAGCCAACCGCCCTAGGTGCCTGAGGGCTGGTCCAGACGTGGGGCCCCTTGGAACTGCCAGCCAGGCATCCCCCACCTCATGGTCATGGACAGACAGACAGTGCTGCCCAGGGAGGTGGCTCCCAGTGGCCAGTGAGGACTGGGCGCATGTAGATGCGTGTGCAGGCCCATGTGCATCCCGAGCAGCAGCCTGAGCCCAGCTTGAGGGACAGGCCTGTGTGTGGGGAGAGGATTCTGTCCTTCTCCACACCCAGGGTGTGCATGCCCTGGAGGTAGGCTGTTCAGTGTGGTGGCTATTTGTTTACATGCAGATTTTTGTAATAAATACTATTTCTCGATATGCCAGGGCTGTTCGCTCTGTCTTTCTTCCCATCTGGGGGCTTCTGGAGCAGGGAGGATTTCTGAAGTTGAGGACTGGGGGCTCACTGCCCCATTCTAGGGTGTGGCCTTGACTGTGCTCATGCCTGGGCCCAGATACAGCCAGCTGGGACTGAGGGAGCAGGTTGGGGGTGGGGCCTGGTTGGGAGTCCAAGGAGTAGGAAGAGACACAAACCCCTCTAAGCCCCTGTTATCCAGATCCTTCTCCTCCTCACTGCCGTTGTCCACCTGATTGAGGGTTTAATCACCCACTGTACATAAAGGGAAACTGAGGTTGCCCAAGAGAACACGCCCTGTCCTGGGTCTTGCAACTGGACAAGAACCCTGGGTTTGGCTCCATAGCTGGTGTTTTTGCCCTGTTCCCTCCGGAGTGGCTGGTGATCAGCTGAGGTGGGGTGGGGGTGAGGTGGGGAGTGGGGGGGGATTGGGGAGAACTCAGAGACTTCCAGGGTGAGGAGTCAGAAGGCAGCTGGTTTAAAACTGGGGTTAAGGGAGGCACACTCAGGCAGACTTGACTGCAGATGGCTCCTCTACCTCCTGGCTGAGGGGCTACTGAGGGGGCCCCACTGTTCTCTCCACTATGAGTAGCCAGGCTAGAACATCCCACGCTCAGCATTGGCTAATTCGGTTTTGGTGAAAACAGCTCCCTAGAGGGCCGGCCCGTGGCTCACTCGGGAGAGTGCGGTGTTGATAACACCAAGGCTCCGGGTTCGGATCCTATATAGGGATGGCCGGTTCGCTCACTAGCTGAGCGTGGTGCTGATAACACCAAGTCAAGGGTTAAGATCCCCTTACCGGTCATCTTTTAAAAAAAAGAAAGAAAGAACAGCTCCCTAGAGGGCCGGCCCGTGGCTCACTCGGGAGAGTGCGGTGTTGATAACACCAAGGCCCCGGGTTCGGATCCTATATAGGGATGGCCGGTTCGCTCACTAGCTGAGCGTGGTGCTGATAACACCAAGTCAAGGGTTAAGATCCCCTTACCGGTCATCTTTTAAAAAAAAGAAAGAAAGAACAGCTCCCTAGAGCCCTCCCTGCCTGGAATGAGAGGTCTTGCATTTGTGTGGGAATGTATGCCTGTGTGTTTATGGCTAGAGATGTGCCTATCTCCCCACCCATCCATGCCTGGGAAGGGGGGCCCATGGCTCCCACACCCTTCTCAGTGCAGGCGCCTGCTAGGAGTTTACCTACATGGTTTCAGGCACATGCATCTTCATTTGGTGATGGGTAGGAAGTGGCTGAGTGGGTATACAGGTCTGCCCATCTCCAAAGCCTGGAGGCAAACTTGGGGCAAGGTAGGGGACAGCCTCTGAGGAGATTGCAGGCCAGAGTCCATACACTTCCTCCCACAAAGCCCTGAGAGTCCAAACAACCTGGTTAGAACCCTGATTGCAGCCTGTTTAATGACAGGAGGAGGTTTGTGGGCTGCTCCTCAGTGTGTTTGTGGGGCCTGTGAGCCTCACCCACATGCTCCCCAGGGCAGCGTGAACAGCTCAAAGCTGCTGCTGCTACCCCCACCCCCACCCACATACTTCAAGGCATGTGGAGGGCATGGTTTTCTCAGAGCAGGTGGGTGTCCCCAAGCCTGTAGAGGAATCCAGGCCTTCCTGGCTCTGCCACTCATTGGTTGTATGACCCTGGGCAAACCACTCAGCCTCTCTGTGCCCAGTGTGTGACATGGGGACAACACCCCCTTCAGAATGGAATAATGAGGATATGTGCTCAGAGCAGTGTTGGGTGCACAAGAGGAGCTCAGCACATGTGAGACCCCTTTAACATCACCACGCTGCACTGCTTCAAGCTGGGTGCCCAAGTGACCCTGAGGCAGACACTCAGCTTGTGACAAGGCGGAGGGCACATGAGGGGTCCCGGCCCAGCTTGCAGCCTGGGAGAGACTAAGCAGATATTCAGTGGGAAGGACTCCTGGAGAAGGGAATATTTGAGTGGAATACTGCAGCGTGAGCAAGGTGCTTACAACACAGGTGAAAGGCTGGGAAGAGCATTCTAGGTAAAAGAAACAGAGTGTGCAAAGGTGCAGTTGCAGGCTCTGGTGCTTGGGAGACCAATTCTGGACCCAGAAAAAAAGTAGTGTCTGAGCCCAGAGGGCCAAGGAATACCCAATGGGCTGTGTAGGGGTTGAGGAAGTGCCAGGCTGATGATCTGCCCACCTCCCGGGGCTGGCAGTCACAGATGCTGAGCAGCTCCCAGCTTTCCAAAGTCAATGAGTAACTTGGGGGGCTGGGTGGGGCCAGGCCTGCTGCTGCGAGCCAGTGGTGTTTTCCACTCCTAAGCAAGTGGGGCTGGACCGCCTACCTGCTCAAGTGTCTGCCTTGCCCTACCCCAGCCAGCCCAGCCTGGCCAGAGCTCCTTGGAGAAGGAGCCCTCTCTCTCGGTGGCTAGACCACGGGAGGCATCCTTGGGCACCAGCAGGTGAGGGGCTAGGAGTGGAGGAGTGGGCAGGACTGAGGCTGGGGGTGGGAGGGAGGCAAGGAGAACACTGCCCTGCCCTCCCGTTGTCCGGGGAAGAGTTCCCAGGGATCCATCGTAGAGTGGTTGTCGATTTTTCAGTCCTCTGTGTGCCCAGCTCCAAGCTGAGAGCCAGAAAATGCCAAGGTGAAGGCAGGGTTCCTGCCCTGGGAACACTCCGTGTCTGGAGGGTAGCAGTGGGAGGCAGAACAATCCTGGAGACCCTGAGCCACAAGACCTCTGTTCCAGGAGGAATTCTGTGGTCAAATCCTCCATGACCTTGGCCAGGCCTTGCCCTTCAGGCCTTGCCTGCCACATGCGGTGACTACAGGAAGTAACTCTCAGAGTCGTCAGGGTCTTTCCAGCTTCAAACTTTTGTGATTTGGGGGGATGCTGGATAATTACCTCTTCGAGATCAATGAGCTGGGGAGGCTATGATGGGAAGGAGACAAGGTCTGGAGGTGAAACTCCTATAGAGTCCATGTGGGGGCAAGAGCGAAGAGACGGGCCTGGGGCTTTCTGTGGGCCTGGCCGAGGAGCTGGACACTACTCTGTGGGTGATGGGGAGCCACAGGCCCTTAAAGAGGAGGAAGAGGAGGCCAGTCTGTAGTGAGATTCCTCTGGCTGTGTGTATGGGATGGAACCCCCTCCTCACTGATCTGGGCTGGATCCTCACTGCCATGTCCCTTAGGCCCATCCTGACCATGGTTCCTGCCTGGCTGTGGCTGCTTTGCCTCCCTGTCCTCAAGGTGAGCTGGGCCTTGCCCCTCTCCTTCAGGTCCTGGCCTTGGGGTTTGACACCTATGGGAGAAGTACAGGGGGTGGGGGGCTCAGAGCTAGGACTACGGGCCTGTTGTGGGTCAAGAGGTCAAAGGCCAGAGGGTGGATGGACTAATATGGACAGGCACAGGGAAGGGGCAGAAATTCCCCCTGCTGTCAGGAGCTAGTGCCCAGACAGGAAGACAGAGCCTGGAGACAAGGTGAGAATCCTCCCACAGGCTCTCCCAGAGGCCCAACCTGCAGAGCTCTATGTGGAAGTCCCAGAAAACTATGGTGGGAATTTCCCTTTGTACCTGACTAAGGTGAGCCTAAAGCTGGGTGGGCTACCTTCCCCCAAGGTCCTGCTTTCCCTACCTCTAGCACCCCTTCCTCTTTCTTGCTCTGTCTCTTTTAAATCCTGCCTTCCAGGGCCAGCCCGTGGCTCACTCGGTGAGTGTGGTTCTGATAACGCCAAGGCCATGGGTTCGGATCCCATATAGGGATGGCCGGTTAGCTCACTGGGTGAGCGTGGTGCTGACAACACCAAGTCAAGGGTTAAGATCCCCTTACCTGTCATCTTTAAAAAAAAAAAAAAAATCCTGCCTTCCAGAAGAGTACATGTTACAGTGTGAATGACTAACAAGATTTTAATCTCAGAGGAAAGTAGAGCTTTTAGTGAAAGAACAAAATATTGGTGGTGAGGTTTCAAACTTCAGAAAGAAGAGCAGGGAGTATTGGGGAGCATCAGGGACAGGGAAAAAAGCTCTGGCTTTGAATCTCAAGCCTGCTGCTTACCTGCTATGTGACCTCAGGCAAGTGTCAGCCCTCTCTGAGGCTCGGTTTCCTCACATATACAATGGGTTCATTGGGTGGAGGGGGCATCCCCAGGCCTGGTCCTCACTCCATTCACCTCTGTTCTCCCCCTTGCACTAACCCCCCTCCACCCAGCTACCGCTGCCCCATGAGGAAGTTGAAGGCCACATTGTGCTGTCAGGGGACTCAGGAGTGGCAGGTAGGAGCCCCTTTACTGTGGATCCAGAGTCTGGATTCCTGCTGGTGACCAGGGCCTTGGACCGAGAGGAGCAGGCACAGTACCAGCTACAGGTATGGCTGGGACAAGTGCAAGGGAGAGCGGGCCAGGCAAGGCCAGCACTGACTACCTTTCCCTGCCAGGTCACCCTGGAGACTGACGATGGTCGTGCCTTGTGGGGCCCACATCCTGTGCTTGTGCATGTGAAGGATGAGAATGATCAGGTGCCCCATTTCTCCCAGGCTACCTATAGGGTTCAGCTGAGCCAGGGCACCAGGCCTGGTGAGTGCCCAGGGCAGCCAAATTACAGCCAGCAAGGTTAGGTGGGCACTGATGAGATAGCAGAGAGTAAAGAGATGGCCAGTCAGCACAGAAATAGGGCAGCTAGGGTCCAAGCTGTCCCTTCCCCTTTCTGTCCCATCCTGCACCCCCGAACCCCACCGAGGGTCCCATCCTCTCTTAGCCTCAGTTTGCCGATCTGTTAAGTGGGGTGAAAAGCTGTGGCTCACCTCCAAAATCCTGATATAATGATGGATATGGAAGGAAGAACCAGGCAGAGATAGGGGAGGCATGGGAGACTCTCTCCACCTTCCATCTCTTACAGTTTACCCTCCCCTCACACAGGTATCCCTTTCCTCTTCCTTGAGGCTTCAGATGGGGATGAGCCAGGCACAACTAACTCTGATCTTCGCTTCCACATCCTGAGCCAGGCCCCACCCCAACCTTCCCCAGACATGTTTCATCTGGAGCCTCGGCTGGGGGCTCTGGCCCTCAGCCCCAAGGGTGAGCCTGAGCTGGGTATGATGGGGAGGGAGGGTCAGGGCAAGCTGGTGAAAGAAGGTGGCATCTGGGCTGCAAGAGGATGGGTTAGGGCTTGAGAGATAAAGAAGGAAAGGGCATTCTAGGTGGTGAGAGCCAAGGCAGCAGGCCATGCTTGAGCCACGCGCTGAGGCGGGACCATGTGTTGAGAGTTAGGAAATGGTGTGAATGGAGCTCCTCAGCTCCACACTCCGGAGACCTGGGCCTATGGGACAAGGCTGGAAGTGGGCTAAGTGCTTGTTGCCTAGGAGGTTGCTGTGAGACCTCAGGACTGATGGCTGGAGAGACTCATGGGCTTGGGAGCTCAGACCAGAGGCACAGGCTGCAGATGCAAAGAAAAGTGAATTACATCAACCCACCAGCCACTCATTCGCCCATTTGCCACCCACCCACTTGTGCAGTCCATCTGTTCAACACTCATTCATCCCAACACTCTCCCATTCACACACCCACACCCCCATCTTTCCACCCACCCAAACTTCCATTCATCCACCTAATCAACCATCCATTCATCCATCCCATCATCTACCCATCTACCCACCTCCCCATCCTAGTGATCCATCTACCCCTCCAGTCCATCAGTCATTCATTGGATAGATATGGAAGTGACTTTGCAAACTATCAGGTCCTGGTTATATGCTCACAATGGTGCTAAAATTCCCTCTCATCCCTTGACCAAGAGAGTGTCCTGAACATATGCCAGACGGTTGGCTGTGTGTTTGGTACCTTGCTTTTGAGGATTCCTTCGCCCCTGCTTTCTGGCCTGATCAGCTGACCATCCTACCCCTTCTAGGGAACACCAGCCTAGACCATGCCCTAGCGGGGCCCTACCAGCTGTTGGTACAGGTCAAGGACATGGGCGACCAGGCCTCAGGCCACCAGGCCACAGCCACCATAGACATCTCTGTAGTAGAGAGCACCTGGCTGCCCCTAGAGCCTATCCACCTGGCAGAGAATCTCGAAGTCCCATATCCGCATCACATTTCCCAGGTGAGTAAGTGGCTGTCAGCGGCTGACACAGCCCCATGGGTGGTGCAGCTGGGCCTGACCTGCAACCTCTGCTCCTCCTCCACTCTCTTCATCACTTTAACATCGAGTGGGGAGTTCAAGGCTCTGGGACCAGGTACACAGCCCCTCAGCTGCCATTCCCTGGCAAGCATGGCTCTGGGCTCTGACCTTCCGAGCTTGCCCAAGGCTTGCTCAGGGAGAACAGCTGCCACCTCCTGCTGCCATGAGGATTGTCACCTTAGATGAGGAATGTCTCAAGCCTCCTCTAGGAATGCCCTAGAGTAAGGCCCAGCCTGAGAGGAAAGAAAATAAAATAACCTGGCACTTTGGGCAGGGTCCAGGCTTGGACCAAGGCAAGGCCACTATGGAGTTAACGCAACAAGGGCCCCCAGCGGAAGGACCCTACCTGGACTCCAGGCCCAGGGAGGGCAGCAGCTTGCCTGGAGTTACACAGTAGTTGGGGACCAGGCTCCTTGCCCAATAATCAGTTGGGGCACAAGGGCTGACGTGGAGTGTTTCTGCCCCTTGGCCCAGGGTGCCCTCATTCTGTGTCCCCCTCCCAGGTACACTGGAGTGGGGGGGATGTGCACTATCAAATGAAGAGTCAGCCCCCTGGACCCTTTGATGTGGATGCAGAGGGGAATCTCTACGTGACCAGGAAACTAGACCAAGAAGCCCAGGCTGAGGTGAGGTGAGCGGGAAGCCAGGTATGCAGGCTGGGGGTGCTTGGTCTCTGCCCAGTTGGCTTTTGGGGATGTCACATCCCCCACAGATGCTGAGGCATTGGAAGAGAGCCCAGAAGAGCTGGAGCTGCCCTTGGCTCTGACCTATAGCTGCCCTTGGCTCTTGCCCCCACTGCCCACTATAGTACTTGCTCCAGGTTCAGGCTCAGAATTCCCATGGCGAGGACTACACAGAACCTTTGGAGCTGCATGTGGTGGTGATGGATGAGAATGACAACGCACCTGTCTGCCCCCCACATGGCCCCCCAGTCATCATCCCTGAGCTTAGCCCCCCAGGTGGGTTATGGGCCTTGTCAGGGAGTGGGGAGGAGTGGAGTTCCTATGACCATCCCATTTTGCTCTTCTTTGGGGTGGGGACCCAGTGTCAGGCCCCCATATCAATGTCCCTCCCCAACACACACACACACACACACACACACACACAAGCTCAAGTTCAGTCCAGCACAAAAGAAGAGTGGGGGGGTAAGGCCTCCAGGCTGGGCTGTGGTCCTACCCAGGTGGGTTCTGTCTTGCAGGCACTGAAGTGACTAGGCTGTCGGCCGAGGATGCTGATGCCCCCGGCTCCCCCAATTCCCACATTGTGTATCGGCTACTGAGCCCTGACCCTGAGGAGAGGGCAGAGGGGAAAGCCTTCGAGCTGGACCCTACTTCAGGCAGTGTGACACTGGGGGCTGTCCCACTCCAAGCTGGCCAGAACATTCTGCTTCAGGTGCTGGCCATTGACCTCGCAGGAGCAGAGGGTGGTAAGTGCCCTGATGATCACTCGGGCTCCCTGCCCCCTCTGCTCCTACCCTGGCCTCACCAGTACGCCCTCCCCTGCCTCAGGTCTCAGAAGCACATGTGAGGTGGCAGTCACAATCAAAGATGTCAATGACCATGCCCCTGAGTTCACCACTTCCCACGTAAGCAGATGCTGGGGAGGAGACCTTGGGAAGGGCACTGGTTGGGGGCTCACCGCCCCTCTCCATTTCTCCAGATTGGGCCTGTAAGCCTCCCTGAGGATGTGCAGCCTGGAACTCTGGTGGCCACACTCATGGCCACTGATGCCGACCTCGAGCCTGCCTTCCGCCTCATGGACTTTGCCATTGAGACGGGGGACACGGAAGGGATCTTCTGCCTGGACTGGGAGGCAGATTCTGGTCATGTCCAACTCCGACTACACAAGGTAAGGGGCTGGGTGGAGGGGACAGGGGCACACACATGCACACATGCATGCGTAAGTGACCTGGGCCTTCCAGAACCTCAGCTATGAGGCAGCTCCAAGTCACAAGGTAGTGGTGGTTGTGCGGAGCGTGGAGGAGCTGGTGGGACCAGGTCCAGGCCCTGGAGCCACGGCCACAGTGACTGTGCTGGTGGAGAGGGTGATACCAGCCCCCAAGTTGGACCAGGAGAGCTACGAAGCCAGCGTCCCAGTCAGCATCCCAGCTGGCTCCCTCCTGCTGACCATCCAGCCCTCAGACCCCATGAGCAGACCCCTCAGGTGAGCTGAAAGCCCAGGCCCTTACCTGGGCTGGATCTCCCTGTGCTTCCTAGGGATGACCCCAGGGTCACAGAGGGCACTCACATTATCCATGGCCTGGAATATTACTCAAACTGTGGCTAATGCCAAGATTATAACTCCTGGAGGGGATCAGGGCTGGATGGACTGGGCAGGCCATGAAGGGGGGTGTTTAAACCCATGAAAGCTCAGATTATGCCTCTCCATCCTCAACCAGGCCCTCCCTTCAACCCCCCCCCCCCCCCCCCCCCCC